AGTTTTAATTCGACTTTTACAAGGGGGTCATACCATGCGCGAGCATCCTCAAAATTCTGATACCACGATCACTTTTTGAACAAAAACGAGTCATGTTAAGCAATCGGACTAGATTTGAATTTAATTTCTTTTGCAAAGAAGATGTCCTTACTTCTAGTTTTACTACTCCAAATGCCTTTACACAAGTCTTCCCTTTCTTGTCAGTATTTTGCGTTAAATGCGATTTTGATTCTGATTATGCTAACCATTTTGGTACCCATTTTCTTTTTTTCGATTTATTGCAAGAATTCTTTTTATTTACATTTTTGTCCATTTGACGAATAATATTTTCTTATCTCCGCAAACAAATAATGGACTGCTCATCTGTTGATTACCTATAATGAGGTAGCTTTTTCAGACTTCATAACATGAAACCAGACTAAAAAGCATAGGAAATGATGATATATCGAATTCAGCCATCTATTAAAAGGGGTATTGTTTAGCATTTGACAAAACTGCATCAGCGTAGGGACCGTATTTGCCAGATCGTTGTAATTTCAATTGCTTAACACGTATTTTCAAATTTACTCTCGCGTTAAAAAAGATACACAGCGAATAAAGGAATACAACGACAAAACCACTGCGCTGAATACCAGTGCGACTTTACTGAATTTTGCTGCTTCCCCTTTAACACAATTCTAAAAATAACCACTGTGTCACATGTTTTGACTTTAGACAAGCGATTATATGCATTTGTTTACACATAGAATGGTCCGGAGACGGGGCAGTTGACGGAATTAAGTCACGTGAAAAATAAACTCTTCACACTTGATTTTAGCGACAAGTAGCAATAGAGCGATTTACCATATACCTCGAAAAGAGGTACCTCTATCATTTACCAGGCGTGGTTAGAATAGCCAATAAACACCGCTCAGACCAATGTTCTAAGACATCACTACGCTTTTTTCAAGCGGAGATGACACCGCTGCCAGTTATGTTCTATTTCGCACCCTGTTGTCGCTTAAAGTATAAAAAACATTAGACAAAGGAAATAATAAGAAAAAAATGTTTCACCTTTCAGTTATTGTTTAAGAATTATTTTTATCAAGTTTTCAACAATTTGAACTTAACGCGTCAGACTGGATTGTATCGTCGGAGCTCGATTAATCATTCTCGAATCCCCATCCATGTTAGTGTCCAACTTTATTTGTCATCCAATGAAAACGCTGTAAATATGTGCAGAAGAACAAAACTCGAGACTATATCGAATTTTGTTCATAGTCGACTTCTATTTTTCAACCGCATAGTAACGTAATAAAGTGAATAATAATGAGGCAAAATAAAGTTTGACACTAAGAATGTTAGTATTCATCCGTAGCTGTTCTACAGAAATGAAACATTCTGCTGTCGCTATCGCTCCCGTCGAAGTTTCTAATTTCTGTGAACACTAACATATACTTAGTTCATTGACCGCCGCCTTTCCTTGGTGATCTTATTTGTCATATTTTAAAATGACGTCATTCTTGTGCCTTTATGAACGAGTTGCATACTTAGGATGAAGTCATTACGAATTGACGCCAGATTGTCTTTAAATTATGGATGCGTGATGTTCTTTAGCATTATATGAAAAAAATCATACTGAAATGGAAAATATCAATGAATAAGCGCACATTGCTGCTACGACATTATTCTTTAACCAGCATACCAATTTTTTTTCAGGATTATGTTTACTTCTTTATATCATTCGTGAGAAAGATAACCTGATTACCGTTTTGAAGGTGACTTTTGTGTTTTCGTCTAATAGATATGTTCATTTAACACATTTAAAACATTATTTTTTTCATTCTGCATACTTAAGACATTTGATGAGCTACAATAGAAGAAAGCTGGTAAAATAAGATTTAGCTACTTTAATGAGATAACCGCCGTTGCTTCAGTGCTTAATTGACGAATTCGGTTTTACCTCGTAAAAATGGTCTCAATTACGTTTTATCTGCTAAATTTTAATGTAATACGACACGAGTAGATTGGAAAATGTCTCAGTTACACCGAATATAAAAAGTCATAAAGTAATATTTTCGTTATTGTATTTAAAGATATCAACGAAACTTAAAATCACCATCAATACGCTAGTCAGGTCGTCATTTTCACGAATGATCTTGAAAAATAAACAGTTTCATAAAAATATTTGGCGGCAACCGTATGCGATAATTCATTTCATCGAATTTGGTGTAGAGTAAAAAATATTGGTCCATTTACTTATCGCGGGGCTCGTTTAAGCCACAAAATTGTACAATTCTGCGTTACTTTGCATAATTCCTGCGTTATTGGCACACTTCTGTTTTGCTGAATATACAATTTTAAGGTGTACTATAGATAAAGAAAATGTACAAAGGTTCCATGGCGTATCTATCATCCGACCTTACTTTTAGCCCGAAGTCCTAGATCTATGTTAATTTTCATCCAATTTTCACGTAATAAAGTGATTCGAGTCAGAAATTATTTCTGTTTTCAAAAAATGTACAATCCGGACAAAGATCGAATTATAAAGCAAATTGCACTGGCACTGTTTGTCTAGGTCGGACATCATTGACCGAGCCGTAAGAAGACGATTTTAAAGATATTTTGCAAAATATGTATGTGAAAAAATACGAATGTCAATCGATCTATTTTAGTGTTTTAATTTGCGTATAATGTACTTTGAATGTTTATAAAAAGATTAAATCAAATGTTATCAAACATATTAGTTAACATGTACAAGTATGTCGTATATCAGCGGTTTCTGGCTATACTCTGTCATGCATGTAATCTTATACACGGTGTGAGTTATGAACTTGTTCGATAGGTATTTAAAGGTAATTGTGTTACGATTCATTTGAAATACTGCTATTCTATTGGACAAAAAATAATTTCAAACACTTAATGATCTTCCATAAAAACCTTTAACGTGTTAGTATGTTGTCATGAAACTAAAGACCAAAAAAAGATTAAACTAGAAGGGCTTTTGCCACAAAAACATCTGTATCCAAAAACTTTGAATGGCCACCAGAGCTATAAATAGAAAAATCTTGCCCACCTTTCACATGTCAAGCTACTAGTAGGATTTCAATAAAAATAGAAATCCCACCAGTAGGTTCACCTGTGAAAGCCGGACAAAATTTTCTGGCAGCCATTTTGTGCAGCGAAGCGGAACGTGCTGGCGATGTTCACAACTAGGGATGGTACGGATCACTCCTGTAAAGTTTGGTTGAAATCCCACCAGAAGTTTGACTTTTGAAAGCCGGACAAGATTATTTTAGTTCAAACTCTGGCGGCCATTTTGTACAGCGATGCAGAACGTGCCGGTGATGTGCACAACTAGGGATCACTGATCACACCTGTAAAGTTTGGTTGAAATCTAACCAGTACACATGTAGTTTGACATGTGAAGGCCGGATAAGTTTAATGCGACGGACGTAGGGACAGACAGGCGGCAAAGGCAAAACAATATGTTTTCCCAAAAACTTGGGAGATATTTGGGAATAATATATTGTTAAACTTTATTTTACTACAGATTTTGATCTGAATTTTAACGCAACTATTTCATTTCTTTTTTGTTTTCAATATAGCAGTTATTGAAAATATTACTGTTTTTCCTCAAACACATACTCTATTTTTCCATATAAATATTGTGAGTCCTTTTTTCTACCGTATTTGGTTTTGTTTGTTTAGTTATACTTTTTCAAACTGTTCGATATTTGTTTTCTTTCTTGTCTTGTCTGTTGTGAGCTGTGAAATAATATATTTGTGCTTTTATGTTTAAGTAATGTCTTACCTCATTAAACATTCTCACATTACATAAACCATTATTTTGAAATTATTCCCTGCGGTCTGGAGACCGCAGGGTATTGGTACGCGTTTAACTTTTGAGGCATGGAGGAGCACGTGACCTGTTTCGGTACATGGAGGAGCATGTGATCTGTAAACCGTTAATGATTGGTTAAGTGACCTTTTCGAAAACCTAGCTAAATACCGTTTGCCGATACGTTACGGATTTACCTCTAGGGAATTAGTCCGAACTACACCTAATTGGTCTCAACCCGGTACGGAATTAGGGGGCAGGGGACATATTCGAATGATGGCCCCGGTCAAATTTTTTAATAACTCAGACATGGTGTTTTGAAGGTACTGATAACTTCTGATATTTCCTTGTCATTGTAATTCTTTCTTGTTTGTGTGTAGGAAATGAGATATATTTTTGGGTTTTTACCCGAAACTAAGCATTTTGGTAGCTTTGTATGTATTTCTGACTCTCCGAAATGGAGGTGAAAAAAGTTAAAAATCAAGCTTTGACAGTTGGCGCCAAAACAAGTAAGAAATTTCAGATAAATTTTGTGAAAAATCTAAACGTATGACAGACACTTTATTTGTCATTTTTGAAAAATGCCATAGCTTGCACTGCGTGTTACTGATATTTTTAAAGGAATCGGGCGGATTCTGGAGTATGCTGCACCTTCATGAAGATTGCCCATATTGGTATATTTTTGGTGTGATTTTGGCTGGGTGGGGGGTAAATATAAATTGCTGTCAGTCATTTTTTGAAGGAGCAATGCATGCAAACTATTATTTTCTTCAATGTATGTCATATATCATTGAATAATGCTGTGCAACTGGTTATCTGCCTGTGAAACAGATTTTGAAATATTTGGAATTGTGTTTCTGGTCACACTAAAATACAAAATTTTTCATTTTTAGGTCCCCTGCCCCCTTAGACCCAACCCGTTGTAGTCTAGAAAGTAGTTCTTTAAAATTTTGAAGTGGCCCAATTTAAGTCATCTCTAGTTAGATTGGTCATAATTAAAGTGTATTTATTGCATGTGTGTAGTTTTTGTGTGTTATATGATGTGTTTAAAAGTTGTTTTTTGTGTATTCTCCAGGAACTCATTTGTTGGCGGAAGGATTAAAGATGTACCACCCACCAGCAGTCAGGAGTTTTCAAAGTGGTGACTTTAAACTGTATTACAACAGAGTGAAGATTTCTGAAAAAAGTAGATGGCTAACCTATTATATTTTGGGCCTCATTTGACTTAAATAGTGTTGATGTTTAAAGTTGAAGACAGTATATAATTCATCAAGAACAGTGAAATCCAGAATTAAGCCTCAAATGTGACTGATTTACTATAGAACAAAGAACACGAAAATTCACCAGGCCGTCACCAAGAGGAGAAATTTGAAAAATGGGAACTAGTTGATGGATATGGATGAAACTTTGCATCAGTGTTGTGTTTATGCATAGAAATCAGGAAAATAAAGGATAACTGACAGGTTTGAAAATTTTTAATTTTATTTCAAATTTTTAATTTTGACATTTTAAATTGGGACAGATGTTGTTATTGTTATCTCTTCTTGAAATGTAGATGTCTGCTACTGTATCAGTAGGTGCAGATGAAGGGTACAGAGCTTTTGCATGAAGGATTAACCACATTTTATTGAATTAAAACTGTAAAAATACATTTAAAATTAAAAAATGAAATTAAAATTTTGTTTAAAGCAGTTAATAAATTGATAAATTTTATTTTTGCACCCTGTATTTAGCAATTTACTAGATCTATAGCTTATTTTTATAAGATTTATATGGAAAATGATAATTTTTAGAGAAATGCATCTTAAATTATGGATAAACCATGCATTGCAAGAAATTGGGGAGTGCATGTTTTCAGGCTGGTTACATTGGCAAAAAAGTGATTGGCAAGCTCATTCCAGAGGTCTTAGGGGCCCAAGAAGCACCGGCCATGGGATTCGAACAAGCACCATAGTAGCCTATTGCTCATATGGACCACGCATTATATGCACTGATGTTTCAGCAAAGTATTGATGCTGTAGTAATCAGATTGTAAATATTCACTATTGTCTTGTATTTCAATGAAGCAGAACTGACAATTGAACAGGACAAATGTGATTTACATGTTGGAAATATAGGCATTTTCAGTGTAGTGAAACTTGATGTTTTGCTGTGCTGCAGAATGTATTTGCTAATATATACACACACAAAAGATTTTCTAGTCATTAAACAGTGAGTTTATGGATAATTGGCTCATCTAGAATACCACTGTTGATGTGATTGTTGTTGTTGTTGTTGTTGTTGTAGCAGCTGCTACAGCAGTTAAAATAGGTTAGGTTTATAATATCTAAAACGTTATTGCCATGCAGGCATGCATTTTTAAGCACACAATATTTAAGCCTTCCTGTGTGAATTAGCAAATCAAGCCATTGATTAATTAAGAAATTATTTTCTTTCTTTTTTGGATATCAGAATAACAGCATAAATGCCTCTTATAATTTCCTTCGACATGTACTAGTGTTGCATATTTTTTCAGACCATGCAGTTACCAAAGCCGGGGTTTGAGTACAGGACCTTACCTTATACTGGTTAAGATCTATGGAAGAACTCTTTCAGCTCAGTTTGGCAGCAGATTTGTCAGGACAAGTTGAGAAGGTAATAACTTATGTCTAGTTTGAAACTTCAGCTATTGACGGCAACGACTCCCAATGCTCGGGCAATATTTGGTAGATATTTTGATGTATATCAGGAGAAAATTTCTCTAATTTTGACTATTTTAACACTTCTCAATGATTTAAAGTGGGAGACAGTATGTGCCATCATTTTTTTAGCCTTATTTGTGTGAGAGTTGGCTAATCTTACTTTGTCAGAAGACATAGCCCATGGCGATATAGTAACCTCTTTTCTAAACTTAAGATTACCTCTGTTTGTCTTTATTGATATCTTAAGCAAACAATATAGGGTATATATCTTGGTACTTTACTTTATTTACCATGGTATATAGGTAAAAATCATAATCAGTAAGTTTTATTGCAATGTTGAAGGAAAAAGTTATGAAAAAAAAACACATTTAATTGTGATTACTTGTATTTTAACCCAAAATTTCATGCTCTCATTAAAATAAATGGAGTTTATATTGCAATTTTTAAAGCAATACGGGCTTATTCTTTCATAAAAATAACTAAATGACATTAGCCGGTAACATCAAACTTTATTTGAAGAAAATCCATTGGCAAAATCAAAAAGATATGACAGAATTTGTGATATAAATTTTTGCGTAAAATTCTATTGGCCGAGGCTGATTTTTTTCGCATGAATTTTTATATTTAAGAAATTGTACTGCATTAATGTAATTTGTTAGAGACATGTCAAACCTATATGAATGTACTTGTATAACACTAAATTACTAGGAAATGAGTATAAATTTTGGCTTAACTTAAATTTTTGGATTCATTTAGGTCTCAACCCGGTACGGAATTAGAACCCAACCCGTTGTAGTCTAGAAAGTAGTTCTTTAAAATTTTTTGAAGTGGCCCAATTTATGTCATCTCTAGTTAGATTGGTCATAATTAAAGTGTATTTATTGCATGTGTGTAGTTTTTGTGTGTTATATGAATGTGTTTAAAAGTTGTTTTTTGTGTATTCTCCAGGAACTCATTTGTTGGCGGAAGGAATAAAGATGTACCACCCACCAGCAGTCAGGAGTTTTCAAAGTGGTGAATTTAAACTGTATTACAACAGAGTGAAGATTTTTGAAAAAAGTAGATGGCTAACCTATTATATTTTGGGCCTCATTTGACTTGAATAGTGTTGATGTTTAAAGTTGAAGACAGTATATAATTCATCAAGAACAGTGGAATCCAGAATTAAGCCTCAAATGTGACTGATTTACTATAGAACAAAGAACACGAAAATTCACCAGGCCGTCACCAATTAAGAACAATAAACTATAACGTGATATTTCTAATTTTCTATAATTATTTTACCGTTTTGGTTGCAAAAACTTGAATGATGTGTTTGAAAATTTTCAATGTTTCTTTAAAATCTATCTCAAATTTTACAAATACTGAAAATCTACAAAATTGAAATATTCGTAGTGGCATCTGCCATAATAAATAGAGATATTTTCTGCGTAAACTTGTATGTTTACTTTATTTATTTTTGCTCGGAATTATTCATAAAATGGTAGGCCTATTTAATCATTTTCTTAAAAAGAAAGAATTGTTTTTATCTTCGGCCTTCTCCGGTCTTCAACGGTCACCACTTTCCAAAGACCTTCTTCTATATTGATCGATTATTGTTAACTATATTCCTGATACAAAGTTTATTTACCCCCCCCCCCCCCCAAAAAAAAAAAAAAAAAAAATGTTGAAAATAGTTAAATGAAATATCTTTATATCATTAAAAATGATCTCCGCAGGAAACCATTTTACTTGTATATGTTCATGTCATGTGTAATTTATGTATCATACGTTGTATTTGTATTATTCCCTTTCTCGTTAGGTTACGGTGAAGTCATTTTGCGGTGAAGGGGTACCCTAAAGGGAATCCTATTTCGAGGTTCAATTTGAAATAGCAATGATTTATTTTTAAATCATCTAAATGAACAGGGAGAAGGGTAATAAAAATTATTGTGATAAATGTAAAGTCAAGAAAACTGAAACAAATACTATCGAATGAAAACAGTATTTCTTGGGTGGTAAAATGCATAGATCAACTCAGACAAATACATATGTATTAATAGAATCAATTTGAAGAATAAATTTCAAAATAAGTAAGCAAAACGAAACAATCCCGCCATTTATAATATAGAAAATGAATTGTCATTATTTATTTCACAGTTTTAGCAACCTGTATTTTGGTTTAATTTTTGTGCAATTCTTCTTTAACTAAGAAAGTGCCATTTTTAAGTTGGATGAAAGATTTTAGACGAATATTTGCAATACACATAAGGTTCTAAACCAAATTTACAAATTTATTGCAAGCACATATACCATATACTTATTCATACAGAGAAAATGTTAGTATAAACTTTCAATTTGAAAAGTGCACAACAAAACATAATGACCGAATTGGAAAAGACACCAAAATGGTTAAAATGTTAAAACCGATTTAGCTTCAATGCCAAAAAATATATAGTCCAAAAACAAAACATATATCTCATTAAAAAATCAAGACCCCCCCCCCCCCAAAAAAAAAAATAAATAAAAAAAAGATAAAAATAAATAAATAGTTAAATAAAATAACAACATCAAAAACAACAACAACAAAAATATAAAAGCTAATACGCACCAAGTATCTCAGGAGACTGACAGGATAGATTAAGTTTCGCAGCAAACCCCCTCAATCTGTCATTATATTCATCAAGTTTGTCTCCATCAATTCTCTCTAAAATATATCAACGCAAAGTTTTAGATATGAGATTTATTTATATATTATTTTTCAAACCTTTGAAATTAACGCACATTATTCCCAAGAAACGTGATTACTTTTGCCTTTGATAGTTTAGGTAATTAACCAATGAGTAACTATTTGGAAGCTAAAACAAGACACCAATATTTAAAATCTTTTTAGAAATAAAAGTAAAAGCATTCTTAGGGCATAATGATTAAAGAAAAGTAGAATCATACATGATACATAACATAATATAACATTATAAGATAACATAACATTATAAGATAACATAACATTATAATATAACTTAACATTATAACATAACATTAAAATAACAAAACATTTAACTATTTTTAACATAACACAACAGACCATTTACATAACATGATATAACATTAAAGATTTGTGACACAGTATTCTTATAGCACAAATTGACGAAGACACGTTTTTAAAGCTCTCAAAAACATCCAATCAATATATTACTCTACCTGTGTTCGAGTCCGGGTTTCCTTTGCTTTTCATTACGACGATTTGCTTTTCGTAAGATTGCAATTCATTCAGTTTGTTTGACTGTTTCGCTCTTTCTAAGTTGTTATACAGTTCATCAATTTTTCTTGTCAACTCTTTGTCTTTAATTTCGGATAAACAAATGCTTACAATTGATTTCAATTCTTTTAAAGCCCCCATTTTTTATCATCAAAAGGACTCTTTGATCCCCCATTTTCTCTAAAAATTTAACAGCATCCCAAGATTTGCCGTTAGCACCTTTATTTAAAATTAATACTTAACAGAAGGAAAAATTAAACGGATCCCTCTATCAAAATCAGTTTTAGTATTTTACCTGGGAAAAAAATCCATTCTCTCTGCCTTCCAGTTCGATTAGATAGTATTTTATCTTTACCATTTTGTAGAAATGTTTCCACTGTCCAAGCTTTCGGGTCACATTCAAATGGTTTAAGGTCCATGTGACGCTTAGTAAAGAGTTTTTTCAACACAGGCTTTACAGCTTCGTCGACAAATTTCTTTAAGTAATCAATTTTCACAGAGCTTGAGGATGCCATTCTAAACCTGAAAGTATTACAGAAAATAATTATTTCTTAACCTGCATTAGTTCCGAGCACAATCAGAACGACCATTAATACTTTTAGAAAAATTACGGTGTACTAAAAATATTAAATAAACAGAAACCTATATTTTCAACCAAATTATAACAATATATGTCAATCAAAATACATATTCTTATCTCAAGGTATAATCTCTTTATGGAATATTTCCGTGTCACTAATTTTGTGTGTGCTGAATAACAATCGCAATCTTGATTCTAAAATAAACGTACATGTATAGTATTTTGTTTGTAATGTCACAATGAAGTTTTATATTTCTTTTCTTTTTAAGTTCACATTTGTATCCTTAATACACGCAACAAACGGTGTTCCCCGATCAGTTTTACATCAAATACACAATGTATCAAATACAAAATATATCAAATACAAAATATATCAAACAAAAGATAAAAGAAGAGTTAATTAAAAAATGGCGAGTTTTGTAAAGATAATATTAAATGAATCGCGTTTTAGTAACTAGTTTTACTAAGATTTTTATTAAGATGACATGATTGGTCATTTGCTTTTAATAACTTTTTATGGCAGTTATACTTTTTAAATACAATTTAAATTGTTCTGACCTCTTTAGTATCTAAAATGGATTCATTGATGGAAAATAATTCTTATTGAATATTAGTGTTTGAAATTATTTTTTGTATAATAGAAAGTCAGTATTTTAATAATACTTTACTTCGGAAAACCATCTTATTATTCAGACGAGTAAATTGATCAAGTGTTTGAAATTATTTTTATCAACGTCGCGCATACATTGATAAGTGCGCTGTTATTTTGTAAATGCTTACAACTAAACCCCAGGGGAGTTCTGTTTGAATATATGATATATATTTCTAAAGTTTAGTAAAACTCGTTGTGGCCATGACCTAGAATATAAAAAAAATTCTATCTATCACTTAAAAATGTTATGGCAGGTTCATTTGAGTATCCATAAATATTAGAAACCGAATATATAATATTTTAAAACAAAATAAATACAAGTGAGAAAATGATAAGCACATAATTCAAAATTACGGAAGCCCATTGAGGCCGTTTTGAGATAGAAGTTAGAAGTTAGATCTTAGATCTTAGAACATAGATCTTAGAACTTAGGTCTTAGCTCTTAGAACTTAGAAGTTCCATATTGGCGGAAACACGCCATATTTACTGCAAGATAGACAAGAAGATGTAAGTGAGATAAGCTTTTATTATATTTCTTTAATTTTATTTTTTAATTTAAAGAATTGCAGAGTTATAGCTAGAACGTTGAAAGATTAAGTGATTATATATTATAAATAAGAACCGGTAAAAAGCAACCAATTTCAATGGGAGGCAAAAGGTCGACGAAGCTATCTTCAACAGGCTGGTAACAAAACTCCATAAGTGGATATTTTAGCCAGTTCTAGCTATTTTAGCAGAACCTGGTTACCAAAAAATCTACGATGAGGGCACAAGCGATGAAACCTGTTGCCAATATTTATGTAATTATCAATTATCAAATTTAAAACAATATTTAAAATTGTGTATCTTTTATAGTTTTTTATGATTATTAAAAAATGTCGGTTTTTCTAATGTGTATTAAAATAATTTGATTATTTATCCCTATTTCAGAATCTTCTTCATTTCCCTTTTCCGGACGATGAAAATGGTTTCTAAGTTAGTATCTAGGTTTGGAGTTTGGCTGTTTGTTATTACACCAGTAACAAGTGTTGTAATCACATATTTAGCTGCCATTCCCAAGGGGCGCATTTAACAAGACTAGAAACCGATCAACTTTGTTGTGGCATGCAAAATGGTTACGACAAGTTAAAGTCATGTTTGATTTTGCATCCACGGAGCGACAGTCGACTCATTTTTATGGCTTAAAAACAGTAGCAAAAAACTCGCCGGCAGTGAAAACGTCATACTACCCAGACACATTAGAGGGAACTGAAAATTCTCAAATATAACGGCAACAGAAAGCGTAACATGGGTTGAAAAGTTTGGATTAGAATGGATTAGATCCAAGCAGAACTATACATGTAAGATAAACCCAAAGGAGTTTTTGAAATACATTTCGGAAGACCTGATACAATGTATTTTGTACCTGGAATCTATGGTGGGCATAACTTTGGTCATCGTATTGAAAAAAAGAAGACATACAGATGTGGCAGAACTTTGTGGATCACTTACACGGCCTCATTGAAACGAAACCGAGAAACTTGTTCGAGTGTTGTCCGTCGAATAACAGAAAAGCCCTTGAAGCCATTAAACGAATCGTTAACAATTGTAACCTTGACTTTTTTACAAATGATTGTGGAGCATTAACAATGAACTTACAATAAACATGTATTGGGTTTCGTGTTGGCATTCATAATTATAAATAAGAAATTATTTTATTTATTAATTATTATATTAATTATATCATTGATTTATATATATATTCTAACATAGATTTATGTG